AAGATGAATCATGGAGAGAGTGCTCAGCTGAGTCTACGACTGCTGACAAGCTAAGGAAGAGGAGACCTATGCATTCATCCCTAGCTCAAGCAACACAGAAGGGCATTCTTGGTAACCTTGAAAAGAACCGTTTCAGTGGAGTAGTAGGGTGAAAAGTGAGACTGAATTAGAATGCGGAGAAGAATTAGAGACAGACTTCCTTGGTTTACAAATGAAACCGTTTTCCTTAGGAAACCTAGGGCAAGTTTTGAGATTTTTGTGATTTGTGATTGTCATATATTCAAGGTTTGTTTCCTTAAAAATTTAAGACTTACAAAACCATCTCTGGTCAGGTTGTGAAGTCACTAAAATAAGTCTTTTCTGTAAAATGGATGGGGAAAGAAGAATATAAAGTTCATTTCATTTGCCATTTGATTTTCTGAATGGTTATAGTACACAGAAGTTAAATTTTCTCTATAAGTCACATTTAAAAAAAAGATTTTATTTATTTATTTGAGAGAGAGGTAGAAAGAGAGAGCACAAGCATGAGTGGAGGGTAGGGGCAGAGGGAGAGGGAGAAGCAAACTCTCTGCCAAGCAGGGAGCCCGATGCAGGGCTTGATCCCAGGACTCTGAGATCATGACCTGAACTAAAGGCGGCGCTTAACGGACTGAGCCACCCAGGCACCCCCTCTATAAATTATATTAACATAAGAGTGCTCCACGAGGTCTGATTTACAGATGAATAATCAAACTCATCAAACCCAATGATCGGTTTACTTGTTTATTGTGTTAACTTCCACCTTCCCTCTACTCCCACCCTGATACCATCATTAGAATGTAGACTCCATGAGAACAGGAACCTTTTCTGTCTTATTGACCCCTGAGTTCCCAGCACCTAGAATATACACTCCGGCACATGGGCAGTAATTAAATGCTAAGTGTTAAATAAAATCAAACACATGTTATGGAGGCATTTTTGGCTATAACAACTGCGGGGTATGCAGAGGTATCCTGGAGCCAGAAATACTAATTAAGTATCCTACAATTCACAGGAGAGCCCCTCACAACAAAGATAATCCAACCTGAAATGTCAGTAGTACCAAAGTTGGGGAATCCTGCCTTAGAGGAAAGAGGAAAAAGAATTAGCTTGATTCATGTAAGACTTGGGTTTGAGTCCCTGGAAGAAGAAAAGGGCCTCCAGCCCTTTTAATATACCCTTTGGGTATATTAAAATTCAGTCAAGACACTGCTGGCTCTCAACACAAGAATACATCTAATGTGGGGCGCCTGGATGGCTCAGTTGGTTAAGCGACTGCCTTCGGCTCAGGTCATGATCCTGGAGTCCTGGGATCGAGTCCCACGTCGGGCTCCCTGCTCAGCAGGGAGTCTGCCTCTCTCTCTGACCCTCCCCCCTCTCATGCTCTCTATCTCATTCTCTCTCTCAAATAAATAAATAAAATCTTTAAAAAAAAAAAAAGAATACATCTAATGTGGCTTTTAGCGATTGATTCGCTGGTGTGAGCTTTTTCACTAGTGCTGCAGCAGATAAAGTCTAGGCTGCAGTGTCTGCAGAAGAACACAAAACAATGAAATATTTCCAACAAATAGAAACTGAGGACTCTCCTTATATATAAAAGAATATTATGTTAAGAAAAAGAATATCCCAGGAGAAAAATACGCAAAAGACCTGACCCATACACATCCCGAAAGACTGACAAAAGGCCAAAGAATATGGAGGAAAATGCTCAACTTCATTAGTAGTCAAAGAAATGCAATGTGAAACAACGATGCATTTAAAAAAATTTTTTTTATTATTATTTTTTAAAGATTTTATTTATTTATTCATGAGAGACAGAGGCAGAGGGAGAAGCAGGCTCCCCGCGGAGCAGAGAGCCCGATGCGGGACTCGATCCCAGGACTCTGGGATCATGACCTGAGCCGAAGGCAGACGCTTAACCGACTGAGCCACCCAGGTGTCCCTGCATTTTTTTTTTAATCCATCAGATGGGCTAGAATGAAATAGACTGATGACACCCACAGTGGGTGAGAGTACAGGACAGCAAGCAGTACTGGTACAATTCCTTGGCAGTGGGATTTCAAATGATTTTTTTCCTTCTATTTTTCAACATTGCTCTTCTAAAAAAATGAGCTTTTAACTTCTAAGTCATGATGCTGTTGTCATCTGAAATAAAATCCCCAAATTATAGAAATACATATTACACGTATATGCATACAGACTTTTCAATAAAACGTTACTATGCCTGCCCTAGTTCAGGGCCAACTCTTTCTGCCACCTAGCTTTCCTCCACATTGCACTGTAATCGGATCCTCCTGAAAATGAAACTGACTCTGTCGCTTCCTTGCTTGAAACTCTTTAGTGGATCCCATTCCAGGGGATCCCTCACACAGGCAACATCAGGGCACCCTCCCAGATCTGACGCTCTCCAGCTCTCCTCCTTGTCCTCCCTCACACTTTTGGTTCAGACTCGACACAGTGCCTGTGACCTTTGTAGCTGCCTTGCTCTACTCTTTAATTTGCCTGGAATTCCTACAGCCCCTTCCCTGCCAGGGCACCCTGACCTGAAGTTCCTACAGTTCCTTGGGCTTACAAGCCATTACTTCACTTAGCACAGAGCCTAGAAATCCTAGTCCTCTTCCTCCTTACAAACCAGGCTCTTAACTTTTCTATCTGCTGTGCTACTACCACACTACCTGCCTGGTGAATAGAATGCTTAACATTTAAAGTGCTTTGTTCATTACCGTGTTTTCCTAGTTCTGATACTTTGTTTCATTTTTCTTACTGTTTGATATGTTCATTAAAGTCTTTGTGGTTCTACAGACATACATTAGAATCTGAGTATCCTAACTTTTTAACTGCATCTTTCTCTGTAAGCCCAAGTTCATCCTATAAACCTTAGAAACGGACTATAGACCCCAATTGCATTTAAAACTAAGTAAGAACCATCTCCCACTGGTGTTTTCCTTTTGAAAAGGAAAAGAGCTGAAGGCTGTTGGGAGGAGGTCATCGAGAGGACATGACTGCTAGTTCATCCATGAGCTGGACTTGGGCCTTCAGAGGCTGCTCACCCCCTCCCCTGTCCTTGGAATGTATATTCTGCTCACCGTTCGCACAGTGGGAGCTGGTCCAAGGACATACCTTTGAGAGAGGAGAGTGCTGTTGAGAGATCTGGATGGTATATGTGACTGAACCCAGTTAAGCCCTCTTTTTTTTTTTTTAAAGATTTTATTTATTTATTTGACAGAGAGAGACACAGCAAGAGCAGGAACACAAGCATGGGGAGTGGGAGAGGGAGAAGCAGGCTTCCCGCAGAGCACGGAGCCCGATGCGGGGCTCGATCCCAGGACCCTGGGATCATGACCTGAGCCGAAGGCAGACGCTCAGCGACTGAGCCACCCAGGCGCCCCAGTTAAGGCCTCTTTATAAACTTTCATGATTCTGGCAGGCGGATGCAGGGATCTGCTCACCCTGTAGGCACCCAAGACAAGCCTTGTAACAAGTAAGTTCCCTTGTTTATTAAAGCCCCTACCTACCAGTCTGGAGGGGTCTGCCTCTTTCTTTGTTCTCTCCCAGCCCTCCATGTACAAGGGCCAGTTTCAGATTATACCCAGGAAGCTCCTGAGGAGGCTGCAGACCAACAAAGGCAGTTTATAGCTTCTTCCAGAACACAGAGACAGATTTCCAGAGAAGGCAATGGCTTTGAGATAGACTTATTTAAAAGAAAGAAAGAAAAAAAGAAAAAAAAAGAAGGGAGAGAAGATAAGTCAGGAAACTTGGATACGATCTGAATTTTAAAAAATATAATTTTGGCTTTAGTTTGTGAACGTTGTCATTTTGAGGCTTCAAGGAGATTGCCTACAGGTGACATACCAACACTTTTACCTTGGTAGAAAGCTTTTAGAATGTCCCATCAATGACTAGATCTAAAGGAAACTGGTGTCCGCCCTCCTAAGTACCTGGATGTGACCAAATCAATACATCCCCTGCCAAATAGTTGTGTATAGCTTACGGGTTTTCAAATGAGGTCTTGATTTATTTGGCTAATGACCAACACACATGATCACAAATGTCCCCTCCCATCCTATTAAGCTTTCTAGGGCAGTATATAAAGGTGCTAATGCAAATGGATAAATTAAAGGGGCAAACTAGGAAAACTGGGGAAATAATGCCCTTTACTCATAAAAATGCTTCATTTCACCTGGAGAATTAGGTATCATTAATATCTATATGCAAGTTTATATGACACTTCATTCTCATAATTTAAAAGTATACTCCAAGGGGGGCCTGGCTGGCTCAGTTGGAAGAGCTTGTGACTCTTGATCTCTGGGTTCTGAGTTCGAGCCTCACATTGGGTGTAGAGATTACTTAAATAAATAAAACTTAAGAAAGTGTAATTCAAGGCTAAAAAAGGTTCTTTTTAGACCAACGTAAAGCCACAGAACATACCTTTCTTGATCTAATCAAGGTATAGTCAATACTGAAACACATGGCAACTTTTTGAAGAAGGATTAAAATAAAGGGAACGTTCTCAAGTTTTCTCCAAAGTATTTCAGCTGTTGCCAATGGAATGTGCTGCTGATGTAACGAGCAACACTGGTCAGTCTGACACTGGTCTAAGTAATCTTGATTATCTTATTTCTGGAGAATGGAAAACTGTAGGAGTTTGCATAGTAAATCACCTAGTGAGACTGGTCTTACAAAGAGGAAATTCTCCATAAGAGCTACCTGGGCCAAACTGTAATCCCATACCACACAAGCATGTTCAGTACATGAGGAGGCTCTGCAGGGGAAAACAACATTAACCATAAAAACTACTGACTTCTCTCATCACTTTAAGAGTGGAAAGAACTTATTTGATCAAACCCTTGTTTCAACCGGATCATCATGTCAGATTTCCTCCCTATAAATAGCCAAATTATTACCGGGTTCTAATGTTGGGCGAGAAGATGTTTAAACTATACCTTTGATCTTAGGATAAACCAGACAGTTAAACAACTTCAAAATGTGCAAACACACGTGTTTTCCTCGAGTTATCCGGGCTCTACGAAGTACCTTTCAAGTGACCCACAAGTCCCACCTACTAAACAGCCACACAGGTGAGAGCGAAATTCAGGCTTCCAACAAAAACTGTCAAATGTTATCTGGCCAAAACTGCCATTCCCGAGGACAGCTTGTCAGGTCGTCCAGTCAGTCTTAGATTCCTCTGCATTCCTCTGCAACTGCTGTCCTGACCTTGAGCCTCTCACGCGCGACTAGGCGGAGAGTCGAGGTCAGAGGAAGTGAAAGTCAACAAGCGCTTACTCAGCAGGGCATTGTGTCGCTTCAGGTAGGCGATTATGTCTCCTTGCTTTTCAACGATGTCTTCTAGGCTTGAAATAGTCCTGCAAAGAATCAGCATATTCACCAATACTCATTCCTCTCTTTGCAAATGGGTCCCCTCCCAGTTTTCAGTACAGCATACTGTAGTTGTGACTTTTTCTTAAGATGTTGTAAGCCAAGGTAATATTCCAAAATGAGATTCTTTCATTAGACTTGGTTTTATCCAGCTGAATGGGAGTAAGCAAATCAAACTTAATTCTAAAGGCACATATGCGTAATCATAAACTCCAAGCGTAAGAATGTTTTCTAGATATCCGGGGCAGGGGGGAGGAACCTTATAATTCTCTTTCTGTAGTCTTTCATTCCCCACCCAAAGCTTACCTGAATCCAGTCTCCGAGGTAATATTGCTGGGGTAAGCATAGATTTTTTCTTCTTCAAGTACATCAGGCTGTGGTTTGGCTTTATTAAATTTTCGAATTTTCACTAAAATAATAAAGTCATTATTGTCAGGTTATCTAATTATGAAAAAAACTTTTACTTTCATTTTTTCAAATTAATTGGCTATGCTTTTCAAGTAAGTTAATGCGGATAAAAATGCTTCATAAAGTGAATAAACAGGTTTGAATATTGATGCACTCAAGCCTTTGAAAGTCTATGTGCCAGGCCTGAACTAAACACTGGGAACACAGAGAGTATCATTATTGTTGATAATAATAACAGCTATGATTTTTTTTGTGAATTTAAAACACAGAAGAAGGCACGGGTGAACTCTTGTGCATGGACGGCCTCATCCAGTTCTCAGAATCACCCCCTGAAGTAGATGCCCTTATTACGCATACTTTCTACAATAAAGTGAAGCCCAGGGGAGTTAAATATGTAGCCAGGTTTCCAATCCAGGAATCATGACTTTGAAGCCTCCACTGTTGATACTACCCTATAAAAAGCGCTACTGGTCCAGGGAAAAATATAGATGATAACTCTACATTCCAAGACAATATGAAAAGAACCAAAATCAAAGCTTGCACAAGGAGCTGTGACAGCCCTGGAAAGCAGCCCCTTAACTAAGCAGGAGTGGGATGGGAGGGAAAATCATGGAGAAGGAGGATGGTAGGGCGTGAGTCCAGCCTTGAGGGAAACACGAGAACTAATCGCACAAACTAGGGGAAGAGAGAAGAAGGATGTTTTAGGTACAGGAAGAGCCTGAACAAATACTTAGGACCTTGAGGAGTGGTGTGGGTGCGTGCGTGCGTGCGTGCGTGCGTGCGTGTGTGTGTATGAGGGGGTGGAAAGGTAGGCAGGGAAGACGTGAGTGACTGGTGTTGCCATGTCAAGGCATTTAGATTTTGTCCTGAGGGTAAATGGGAGTCACTAGCTCACCATCATCCCTGAAGGGCAGGGCTGAGTAGGGCCAGCTCATGGAGAGCCTTTTATGCCACACCAAGATTTCAGATTTTCTTCCCTAGGCCTTTAAGAAAACTCTGAACAGGGAAGTTGTTAATGATCAGAGTTATCTCTGAATACAATTACACTGGCAGGAGGAAGGAATACGAATTAAGAGGACAGAGGAAGGGAGACCAGTAACGTGCCTGCTGGAATCATCCACGCAGGATGTGAGGAGCGTCTGATCGAGGCAGTGGAATGACAGAGGAGAGGAGACAGATGTGGGAGGCAGGCAGACTGAACAGGACTGATAACTGAGGGAGGGAGAGTAAGGTGGAAGGAAGAATCCAGGACAACAAAAAGGTCAGATTGAGCAAGAGCTGCAGGCTGGCACTGTTAGCTGAGCTAGGGGAGGAGGGACAGGATGGGGGAAGGTTTGGAAGAAGAGAAGGATGTCCAGGTCCCTTCTGTCTTGCTACACTGCAACGCCTGGATGGAAATGATCACCAAGCAGGTGACTATAAAGGTTTGGGTGGCTCTGTTCATCTGAGGGCTGCCCCCTAGTGTGTAGATGGGTAACTTTTAGTATGTAGAGAAAAAGGACGGGGGAACGCTGAAACCTGCCAGTATTAAAGAGGTGGGGAAAAATCTGTTAAAAGGGAATGGAAATGAATCTCCAGAGAGGAAGGAGGAGAACCGGGAAAGAGCAGTCGGTGTTCACTGCCAGAAAGGTGAAGACATGGAGAGGACCCAGGGGATGTGGCAGTTTGAAGGCCACCGATGAACTTGGCCGTTTGTGGGGATAAGTGATGTTATGGACTGAATTCTGTTCCCCGAAAATTGACATGTTGAAGCCTCATCCCTGATGTGACTGTCTTTGGGGATAGGGCCTTCGGTGAGGTAATCAGCATTAAATGAAGTACTAAGGGTGGGGCCCTGATCTGACAAAAGAGATACCAGGATGTGCTTGCACAGAGCACAAGGCCGTGTGAAGACAGAGCCAGAAGGCAGCTCGAGAAGAGAGGCCTCCAGAGAAACTAAGCTTGACCACACCTTGACCTTGGACTGGCAGCCTCCAGAACTGTGAGAAAATGAATCTGTGTGGTTTTAGTCACCCAGTCCAGGTACTGCACTGTGGCGGCCACAGCAGATAACTGCAATTTGGGGGGGGGGGGTGGCGTGGCAAGGAGGCAGAGAACAGACAGTGAAGGCCGCCATTCCCCACCTCTCAGGGGTGACAACAGGCCAGGACAATTCGCACCTCTGGATAATCGTTAACTGGGCTGGGGCTTTGCCCTGCCTGAATAATAACTCTGGGACGGGGCTGGAATGAGTAGTCAGTTTCCACCAGAGATGGCTACAAGGGGGGAGAAAGCCAGGGTTGGAGGCCGGGACTGTCAACTGGGACTGAACACGAGAACTGTATGCGCCAGGCCTCATGAATGAGGGGGAGGGGAAACAGGTTAGACTCCGGCACCACATTTTTTAAAAGCTCCACATGCCATTCTTTCCCTTTTTATAACAACTTTTCAGATATAATTCACGTATCATGCATTCACCCGTTTGAAGTATACAATTCAATGGTTCAGTATTTCAAATTGTGCAACCACCTCCACAGTCGATTTTAGAACATGTTCATCACCCCAGAAAGGAACCCGGTATCCATTAGCAGTCATTCTTCATTTGCCTCCTGCCCCCAACCCCAGCTCTAGGCAACCGCTAATCTATTTCCTCTCTCTATACATGTGCCTGTTCTGGGCATTTCGTATCCACGGACTCATACAATAGACTGTCCGTAATGGCTGCTTCCTCTTAGGATAACGTTTTCAAGGCTCATCCACATTGTAGCACATATCAGTACATCAGTCCATGTATTCATTCCTTTTTAGGACTGAAAAATATTCTATTGTATCGATCAAACACATTTTGTTTATCTCTTCATCAGTTTATCCTGACATCAATTAGATAGTTTCTCTTTGGGCTATTATAAACAGCGCTTCCTTGAACAATCGTGTACATGTTTCTGTGGCGATGTCTTGGATATATACGCGGAGTCACGTGACACTGTTTCTCCTTTTGTGGAACTGCCAGGCTCCACATATGATTTTTTTTTTTTAAGATTTTATTTATTTATTTGACAGAGAGAGACACAGCGAGAGAGGGAACATAAGCAGGGGGAGTGGGGGAGGGAGAAGCAGGCTTCCCGCTGAGCAGGGAGCCCAATGCGGGGCTCGATCCCAGGATCCTGGGATCATGACCTGAGCCAAAGGCAGACGCTTAACGACTGAGCCACCCAGGCGCCCCACATATGATTTTAATGTGCGCTCTCAGCTGAGAACTGGGCTCAAGAAGCTGAAGTGAAGAGGTTGAACGTGAGAAAGGTGGGAGATGTGCAGAGGGTCGGGCAGGAAGGAACAGGAGGAAGCAGACAGTATGATGCCAAAAGAACCAAGCGTGCCCTGCACCTAGATGCCCTTGACTTTCAGGTATGGCAAGAAAGTGGGAAATGAGAAGCACCTTATGGCTTTGAATGGCAGAGGCACAAAACCTGAGGTGCTACAGCTCACAGGTTAGAGGTCACAGACTGAGAGCCCCGGGGCTCCCTCAGGGAGAGCGCTCGACAAAGGAGACTATGGGGCCCCAGGGAGGCAGGCAGGAAACCAGGAAAGTCAGAGGCCCAGAGCAAGTGAGGGGTACACTTCCAGGAGGTAAACTGAGTCCAAAGTCATCCAGTAAAGATGAAGGCCGAGAATCAAGACTTATGCGACAGCTGCCAGTGAATCTGAGTTGTTCGATGTTCACATCGTAGTTCTCGGAAATGGGATCTTCCCCATAATAACTCCTGAACAAAGGAAGAAGCTTGGAACAAGTGTAAGTTTCTTGAACCGGGGGACAGGAAATAAGGGCTATACAGTATTAAAGTAAAAGTCAGGGGACAGAAATAAAAGACACCACAGTCTGACAAAATAGAAAGGTCTCTGTGGTCTTTAAAACAGAGCAGCATTTTACAGATCACATATCAGGCAGTAACACCAATTCCAACCACTCCTTCCATCACAAGCCAAGGAAAGCGGGCAGCATACTAGAACATCAAAACACTAAAAAAGACAGGTGCACTTGTTCACCACTTACATTTTCTTTCTGCCTATACTGAACCTCTTACAGCTTCAGAGCCGTGATACCGGCTGATACAAGGCTGGTAACTGAGTGCCATTACTTGACTCTTTTGCTTATTTTTTTAAATGAATGGAGAGCTAATCAAATTTAGTATCTCAAAGCTGTTTCAGGCTTTATTTTCCTAGTAAAGCAAATTAGTGTTCAATGAGAAGGGTCCATCTTGGTTTCTAGAGATTAACTAAAATGCAAATAAACTAGTCAAGGTTAGGTTAGGATTAGTACATCAAAGAATCACGTCCTCAAGAGTCACTATCAATGTTACCAAACCCACTATCTTTTAAAATCATTTCAGTATAGAGAAACAAGAAAAATCCATACATCAGGAAACCAACCTTAAATTTTCTATGACACTGAACAAAAGCAACATTTGTCTCTAGATGCTACTCCCTAAATCTCTCCTGTCAGAATCTACAGTACATTTAAAGGAACATTATAATTTAATAAGTTAAGCTTACTCTTGAGGACGTGGAGATTAGACAGTCATACTTGAATCTTCTGAAGAAATTCAATATTTGCAGAAACCCTAAGTTTATAATTATAATTATTATAAACCTGTCCTATGTAAACCATCTATTTACTTTGTGAGTCTGAATTACCAATTATCAGGTTTTCTTACAGTAGGAAGCATATTCATTTGAGATTTAACAACACAGTTTTTAATGGTGTTTTTATTCAGATAAAAATTTAAAAATTAATGTAAATGAAGATGAAATATGCTACTAAGTCTTTGAGTATAGAATAAAGCAATTCTTTTTAATTAGGAAGACAATATACTAAAATAAGTGGAAAAGAGTAAAATGAAAGAAAACCCTTTTTATTTAAGTTTAGGTGTCATGTAACTATTTGTGTCCAACTGTAAAAATGAGCTCCTGTCAGGATTCTTGCAATACCTGTTTCCTTTGCCTCTTATACACTCTCAGGGTTTTGTCTTTTTGTTTCTAACATTAGCTGTCTTATTTATATATATATATATTTAAAGATTTTTATTTATTTGACAGAGAGAGACACAGCGAGAGAGGGAACACAAGCAGGGGGAGTGGGAGAGGGAGAAGCAGGCTTCCCTCTGAGCAGGGAGCCCGAAGTGGGGCTCGATCCCAGGATCCTGGGATCATGACCTGAGCCGAAGGCAGCCGCTTAACGACTGAGCCACCCAGGTGCCCCAAGCTGTCTTATTTATAATTAATTATAAATGCTACAGCAAATCCTTTAAAAAGTACAGTAAGTCCTAGAGAAATAAATCTTGGACTACATTTTAACAGTATTAATTTCCCCTTATTTACATGATGATATTCACATGATCTTTGGAATATTGTCACCTCCTTCTATGTCACAGAGCATTCTATAGGTATTACAGAAAATACTACAAGAAGGCTTGCACCCCTTGTAGTAAATGAAAGTTGTAGAGTACTAAAATAACAGGCTAAGTGAATTCTATATTTGGATCTCAACTATGACCTCATTTACAGCATTTGACAGACATGTTGTAGATTGGAACTGATCTCAATCAGCAAGGTTAATTCAATATTCATTTGTCATATGGATCACTTTATGGAAACAGCAAGCTGTTTCTTATATACTGAAAAATTAACCTTACTTTAAAACTAGTCTCATTCTTTTCTAGGAAGTTAAGTGGGTGATACACATTTATTTTTTTAAAGTGAGGTACAAAATGTAATCCTCTCCATAATTTGGCTCATCGTTAACTGATAACTATAGAAAGATTTACAAAGATCAATCAATAATGTGACATTCACATTTACAAACTAGTCACCCCGTTCATATTCTAAACACTCTTCTGTAGGCCTAAGGAGATGCACAGAAAAAAAAAAAAAAAATCAGTAAAATGAAACATAAGCTGAGACCCATGTGACTTTGTCCTTCATAACAAAAAGAAATGACATCTTTCAAAATGGATACACGAGATATTTTATTGTCACAAAATAACTGTTATGCAGTGCCAGAAAATTAGCTACTATTTTGGACAGGTTTTACTGCATGTCAATATTGCAACAGGAATGAAATCTAGATTTTTCCAGGGCTTGAATTTTTTTCTGTTAAAAGTATCCTTCCATCTATTTTTCATGTTAACATATCTAAAGTTTACTTTTATTTTAAGATTTTATTTATTCACTTGAGATACAGAGATACAGAGAGAGAGAGAGAGAGAGAGCATGAGCAGGGGGAGAGGCAGAGGGAGAGGGAGAAGCAGGCCCCCCGCCGAGCCAGGAGCCTGATGCGGGGCTTGATCCTAGGACCCCGGGATCAGAACCCGAGCTGAAGGCAGACGCTTAACCATCTGAGCCACCCAGGCGCCCCTAAAGCTTACTTTATTTTTTGAAAAGATTGTTTATTTTAGAGGGAGAGAGAGATTCCTCAAGCAGACTCCCCGCTGAGCATAGAGCCTGATGTGGGGCTCGATCCCAGGATCCTGAGATCATGACCTGACCCGAATTCAAAAATGAGCCACTTAACCAACTGAGCCACCCAGGTGCCCCTCTAAAGTAAAGCTTACTTTAATTTTACCAATGAGAGTTCTGAGAGAGAGAGACAGAGAGAGACAGACAAACAGACCAACCCTCAGACAGCTCTAAATTTAGAAAATGAGTTCATAAATGGTTTATCCTAAAGCAAGTCCGGGATAAATGCAGTTTCGCATGCATTATTTATTTATTTACTTATTTTGTATTTCGTCATTTCAAATTTAAAGATTTTTTTTTAAAATTTATTTGTTTATTTATTTATTTGAGACAGAGAGAACGAGAGAGAGAGCACATGAGAGGGGGGAGGGTCAGAGGGAGAAGCAGACTCCCCACCGAGCAGGGAGCCAGATATGGGACTCTATCCAGGGACTCCAGGATCATGACCTGAGCTGAAGGCAGTCGCTTAACCAACTGAGCCACCCAGGCGCCCCTCGTCATTTCAAATTTAAATGCCAGACTTACATCTCAGTTGCCTTTGAAGAAGCAGATGTTTGTGGGCCTTTTTAATTTTTTTTTTCTAATGATAAGTATCACTTGACTTGACAAAAATTAGTTGATGACACAAATTTAGGAGCATCACTCACTGGTATCTTGCTGTTGGTTTGAAACTGAGGAAGTCTGGATGTGGTCAGTAATGAAAGGTAAACAGGCTCGCAGCTGCTAGAGAAGCCTTGCCACGAAGATAATGGCCACGCTTCCCATTATCAGGGATGAAACAAGCAATCAGAGGTCTTTAGCCCAACAGTCTCGTTGTAATTCTCACCTGTGTAAACGAGCAGACACGTCAGGGAACAGATGAGTTCCAGGGCCAGGATGGCCAGGATGAGGTCAAGATACAACCTGCTGGGCTCCGGGAAGGAGTGCTGCACGCACAGCACGAGGAGGAGAGCCGTGCTGCCTGAGGAGGAGAAAGAAGCGCGGGGTTAGCAGAGGCCCGTGGGGGCCCACACGGCAGGGGCAGGCGTGCACCCAGGCCCTTCTCTACTGAGCAGCGAAGGAAGCTAAAGTAAAAAGCCCAAACTGCTGCTCTCTTGAGGGAAAAACCCCAACATGTCAAAGAGTTAATGATGCCTCCAAAATACAATGACGTAAGAATCTGGATTTTCTTAAAAACTAAGAAATAATTTTTTGCTCTATAAAATGATTAACAATGGCACTGTGTGGAGTCCCATGTGCATTTAAAAAGGGATGCAGGGGCTCCTGGGCGGCTCAGTCGGTTAAGCGTTGGACTCTTGATTTTGGCTCAGGTCATGATCTCAGGGTCATGGGATCGAGCCCCTTGTCGGGCTTCACGCTCAGCATGGAGTCTGCCTGTCCTTCTCCCTCTGCTCCTCCCCCTGCTCTCTCTCTCTCTCTCAAATAAATAAACAAATAGGGATGCAGTTTTTAGAAATTTGCATTATCCCAGTTCTTCAGAATCCAGAGGCACTTGAGGACCCTCATGGCCCATTCTGGTCACATAAGGTAACAACAGAGAACTGCACGGAGGTCAAGAATGTTGCAGTTATGGGGACCGCCTGGGTGGACATCTGGGGCACGCTGCTGACTGTGGACAAATGACCTGACACCTCTGCTCCTCAACTTGTCTGAAAAATGGGAATGGTAGTACCTTCCTCACAGTGCTCTTGTGAGGAATAAATGAGTTAATATGTGAAAATTACTTAGAATGGTGCTTGGCAACTATTTGATAAATATGAACTGTCCCCCCCCCACACACACACTTAGCATATCTATTATTTGGTTTTGAAGACCATTAGCCTTGTTCTGTACTTTTATTTTGAAAAATACAGCATAGAAGAAAAATAAAATTCTGGAGCAAAGAGGCTGGGTCTTGCCATCGTGTACGGTATGACTGAGTCTGCCACAGGGACCTGCTTGGAGGAAGGGCTGTACGGTGGTGTGCCTGGGATTGTGAAAGATTACACGAAGCAAAAATTATTATTATGTAAAGATTTTATGTATTTATTTGTCAGAGAGAGAGAGAAAGAGCACAAGTTGGGGAATGGCAGGCAGAGGGAGAAGCAGGCTCCCCGCTGAGCAAGGAGCCCGATGCGGGGCTCGATCCCAGGACCCTGGGATCATGACCTGGGCTGAAGGCAGATGCTTAACCGACTGAGCCACCCAGGTGCCCCGAAACCAAAATTATTATAATAATGCTGATGATACCTACCATTTATTGAATACCTACTAGGCACTGTTAGTTCACTTCTTCCTACAACAGAGTTTGTGTGAGAAATACTATTTCCCCAATTTTATACAGAGAAGATGTCAGGCTAAAGCTAATCACTATCTGACAATACTATCACCTGCCATTGAAACAATGGTTACACTCATCTGATTAGCTGGACGTTCTATGTCTTCATGGATTTACCTTTTTATTCTTCATATAAGAAAAAAATACTTAAGAGAAAATAGAAACAAGGTTAATACCTGCCCCAATCTCTTTGGTTTTCTGGGTCCTTATATAAGCAACATAAAAGTGATGCCATCTGTGATTAAAATAAGGGTCCAATTGCTTAGAAACATTAAGTGTCATATGTTAGCAAGAATTTCAAAGTGAGGGCGCTGGGGTGGCTCAGTCGTTAAGTGT